ATGTCCGGTACGAGGCGGACTCCGTCTGGCAAAAACAACAGGTAAGGTGTATCGTGCTGGAAAGCCAATATTTCTCCCACTCGTCTAGCTGAGGTGACAGCAACTTAAAAAGGCCATTTTCCACACTAGAAGTTTGAGGTCGCAGGTTGCGAGCGGCTCAAAGGGCTTCCTCGTGAGCTGGCGGAGAACTAGAGGAAGGTCCCAGGGAACGACAGGAGTTTTAATAGGAGGGTATAAATGCAATAAACCTTTTAAAAAACGTTTCGAAAGCGGATGGGAAAACAGTGTGCATCCGTCGACTTGAACACAGTAGGCCGAAAGGGCAGCCAAATAAACTCTTAAGGATGAATGGGAAAGTCCCGAGTCAGCGAGGGACAGGAGGAATTGGAAAACTTTGTCGAGACCCACGGAGGTGGCTTGAGGGGCATCATCACCTAGGGAAGAACAGAACCTTCACCATTTACAATTGTAGGACTTCTGCGTAGAAGGTTTGCTACGCGGGTGGAAAAACCGTTGATGTTATTCTCCACGCTGTCAATTTCAATTGTGGTATGTTGTGATGTAGGAGAGGGGAGTCGGACATGAAGAGGAGATCCTGAGCTGGAGGGAATTGATGGTATATTCCTGTTGATAATTCGAGGACTGTCGAAAACCATGGTTGCCTTGGCCACTATGGGGTTATCAATATACAGTCCGCACCGTCTTTGAGTATTTTGTGGACCACTCTCAGAAGCAGAGGTAAGGGAGGGAACAGGTAAAGAAGTACCGTGGACCAAGGGTAAAGGAGACCGTCTCCCAAAGATTGTGGGTCCCTGCCTCCTCGACTGCAGAACAGAGGACACTTTTTGTTGGTTCTGGTGGCAAAAACATCGAAGGTTCCAAGGGCGTAGGGAAACAGTGCCTCCCTGCTTGTTGACATAAGAGAGCGCCGTGGTGTTGTCCATGAGGACCCTGACACATTTTCCCCTGATAATAGGTAGGAAGCTGGTGACAGCACACTGTATTGCTAGCAGTTCCAGGAAGTTTATGTGTCGCTTCCTCTTCTGTGCGTCCCATTTCCCCCCAACAGAAAGGCCCATCGTGTGTGCACCCCATCCCGTCAGGGAAGCATCTGTCGTTAGGGTGATTTGGGGTTACGGCGGATGGAACGGTGCCCCTTGAAAAGGATTGGAAGGGACAGTCCACCAAAGTAAGAACTCTCGTATGTTGGGAGGGGGGGTTAGGACGGTGGTATGTGTGTTCTTTGAGGTATTGAAGTTGCGGATGAACCACAGTTGTAGGTGGCGCATTTTTAGTTTTGTGAAGACCAGGACCGACGTAGTCGCGGCCATAAGAACGAGTAGCCTTTGCATCTGGAAGGCCATGAACAAGGGTTGGGTACGAACGACGGTGGCTAGGTGGATGATGTCTGCCGCTCTGTCTTGGGGCAGGTAAGCCATGCATGTCATGGAATCCAGTAGGGCACCAATGGGCTGGTTGAAGTTGAGACTTCTGGAGATTGATTTGCAAGCCCAGATCTTCCCAGAGTACCATTGTCTCGTAGATGTTTGAAACTAGAGTGTTCCTTGGAGGACGCTACTAGGAGCCAATCGTCGATGTACAGGTAGATGGAGATACCCTTGAGACCGAGGAAGGCTGCCACCACAATCATAGTCTTTGTGAAGACTCTTGGGGTGCTTGAGAGGCCGAATGGAAGGGCTGCATATTGGTAATGCTGTTGACCAATTGTGAAGCGCAAGTATTGGCGGTGGGAGGGGTGGATAGTGAGGTGGGAGTACGCGTCTTGCAGGTCAAGGGTGGCCAACCAGACGTTTTTCCGGAGAAGTTGCATAATCTGCTGCAAGGACACCATGCGAAAGCGGTGGTAGGTGACATAACAGTTCAGCTCCCTCAGATCTAATGTGGGTCGAACCCCTCCATCCTGCTTTGGAACTGTGAAGTATCGGGAATAAAATCCCATCCCATAGAGGTATGGTGGCACCTTCTCGATGGCTCCCTTGTGCAGGAGGATGGACACCTCATCTAGGAGAGGTGGGGAAGGGGGTGTGGTGATGACAATTGGAGTGTTGGGGTTCTGGTCGAATTGAATATGGTAACCTTGGGTTACGATGGACAGCACCCATTGGTCCGAGGTGATGTGACGCCAGGCATAAAGGAAGGGTGACAGATGGAAGGCTGACTCGGTAGGAGGGAAGTCAAAAGCCCTGCTTGGAGGACCTTGGTTGTTTGGTGCGTGAGGGTTGTTGTCCAGTTCCAAACTTAGGCTTTTGAAAGGCGGGTCTTTGACCACCGGAATCCATACATGGTCTCTCCATTGCCTGTCCAGAGACTGATGATTCGGGGTGCGTCTTTGCCAGGACCTAGTCCAGGTGCGAGGGCGAAATTGTTGCCTCGTGGAGGATGACACTCCTAAAGCGCGAGAGGCCTTTATGCTCTTATCTATATCCTGGAGCATGGTATCGGTCGTGCTGTTAAAGAGACCAAGGCCATCAAAAGAAAGGTCTTCGACATAGGACCTAGTATCTTGTGGAAGACTGGTATTGCAGAGCCAGGAGTGTCTCCTCTGAGCGATCGCTGAGGCCATTGTTCTGGAGGAAGCATCTAAGGCATGTTTGGAAGTGTTGATCTGCTGCTTTGCAAGGACCATGCCTTCCTTTTGAATAATCCTGGCCACCTCAAGCGTGTCTTCAGGGAGGTGGGTCAGGCGGTTGGAGAACCTTTCCCACAGAGTATATTGATATCCGCTCATGCAGGCTAGGTAGTTAGTGGTTTTGACCCCTAATGCACCCATGGAGTCTCCCGAATGCGTCTAATTTCCTACTTTCCCTATCAGAGGCTGCCGAATGCGTTCGCTTTGACTTGGACGAGGATGTTACGACTACTGAATTTGGTTGAGGGTGGGAAAATAAGAATTTGGCACCTGTCTCCTGGACTCTGTACATGTGGTCCAGACGTCTCGTCGACACCGGGGCTGAAGACGGCTTTTCCCATGGGGCTTTGATAGCTTGCAAGAGGACTGCGGACATAAACCTTTGGTGGAATGACTTGGGGGGTGGAAGGACCCAGAGGTTCTGTTTGATGGTGGGAAGGATCTTCAGCCGGAGGTCGAGACAGCGATGCTGAAGGTCTTGATTTATAGGGTGACCTTGATCTGTGACCAGAATAGGTCGAATAGCGATCCAAGTCGGAATAGCCCACAGGAGTCAGCCAGGGTATGGATGGTGTACAATTGTCGTAGAGGTATCTCAGCTGGCGTTGATCCCACAACATCGGTGGTGTGGGGGGGATAAAGACTCTGGGGGATCGACTTCTGGACCAATCACGTCTCGGAGACAAAGAAATGTGCCGTCTTTGTGAACGGTCTCTAAAAACTCGCTCATCAATAGTATCGGCATGCAGACGTGAAGGTTGACACTGCATGCTAGAAGGAATGTGTCGATTCCAACCTGTATCGATGTTGGGAGCTTCCGAAACTGTCGATGTTGACGATGGAGAAGGAGAGAGGGAAAGCTCTGCACCCGTGGGGTGACTTAAGAGCTCCACATTCTTTTTTTTTAACAAAACAATTTTATTGATTTTATCAAGGTAACAGAGAACAGACAAATTTTTGAATAAGAATCAAATCAGTTACAGAAACAACAAGGTAAGTACATTTTAAACAGGTTCTATATGGTTAATTTTAGTATATTGGGTTACAATGGATTAAGTATTGTACGTTTCGTTTTAAGTTTATAAAAGGTTCAATTTAAAATATTCAGAAATTTACTAGATTTGTGCAATCTACGACGATGGTTATTTCAGATGGTTCTTATTTTAAATGAATTGCAAGATTTGGTATTTAGCTTGTGATATAGTCTCCCAGTCGAACTTATCAACATCAATTTTGTCCAGTATCGGGGACCAGATACTTAGTGGGTTATATAATTCGCATTTGGATTGGTGTGAAGTGAAGAGCTCCACATTCTTGATATCGGAGTAGGGACAGTCCAGTTGTTGAACAGGAGAGTCCAAAATCTGAATTGTAGATATCGGTGGAGGGGCATGCATCTCCGATATCGATGGAGTGGGGGGCACTATAGGGGCATCACCCAGTACGGACGCCGCTACTTTCGCCTTCTTCGCCGCTTTGAGGGGCTTAGAGGAACCCTTTTTTGCGGACTTCTCCTTACTTGCCTTGGGTCTCTTCTTCACTGGTGTTGAGGCGGAGAATTGCGCCTTCGATGCCGGAGGCTTCAGCGTCGGTTGAACGATGTCAGAGGCAGGCCTCGATACCGGAGCCGTCGAGGTCGAAGGTTTCTTGGAGTCCATCGTTGTGGAAGGATTTAGAGCCGATTCAAGGAGCGCCACTTTGAGGCGTGCAGCTCGGGTTTTTCGGGTTTGGTTTGAAAATCTTGCAGAGTGCTGGCAAGAGTCAGGTCTGTGAGATTCTCCCAAACACAAAATACAGAGGGTGCAGCGGTCAGGCGGTGCGAGTTTACTACCGCAACGTTGACACCGGTTAAAAAAGCCCCACTTTTTCTCCATAGAATAAGAAAGTAGTGGAGAAAGAAGGGGGGGGGAGAGCCCGAAGGCCAAGCTGAGGTAAACAGAACTTTCCCCCCTCAGGAAAAATAAAGTCTTTATTTTGCCATGAGGCAAATAGCCAAAAATAGCGAACCGATCAGACCGACGGAGAAACGGTCTTTCCAACGTGGCAGTAAGAAAGGAACTGGCGGGATGTCTGCGCCCACCCCTCTGGGCATGCGTGGTGGGGTTCCTGCACATGCCCGAGGAACTGGGCGCGAAAATCCGTTAAAGAGCTTGCTACAATGCCGATCGATCCAGCGCATGCGCACTAGATCCCATGGGTGTGAAGCACAGAGACCACATCGAAGATATGTTTTAAGTGAAATATTTACAAGGTGGTAGCACAGTGACCATTCTGAGGAAAAAATGGGTCCTTTTATGATTTATTTTCATATGACGAGATGGCTGACTATTGTACTTTTCTCAGTGAAAGTTACCTCACAAGACATATGTCATACTTCATTTTATTACATGTGTGTTTTGAACTGAACTTTACAATGTTCACTTGGTCTTCAAAAGTCCAAGGGTAGTAGTATTATGGATTCTCCTTTACTTGCTCAAAACTATTATAAAAACTGTCAACACATTTAACATGCTTTTCCCACCTTCTCTTCATTATTTGGGTTTTCAAAAAAAAAAATCTAAACTTTGGTAAGAACAGGTATCTGAAAAGGGTAAGGAAGGACCAGAGTCACGAGCTCATGAATGTGGCTCACGTAGGTGATCATAAGCTCCAAAGTCAAAGAGAAGAGGCCCAGAAGTTCCATAATACAACAACTGGGCAGCCAATCAAGGTTTACATTGGTTAATGAGTGTTCAGTAGATGTCGTTCAAGCATCTGAGAGAAAATTTACCCAAGCATACTCTACAATTACCATACACCCGGTTATGTGATACACAAAGTGACTCTTTCAAGTTAGGGAGGATTTTATGGGAAGCAGATTTTGTGTATCTCATTCTCTTCTAAAGTTAATGAATTATTGCTCACTTCTTCCCTTAAAAAAAAAAAACAGCAACCAAAAACAACTTCCCTTTTATATAAAAGGCATGCAACTTCATTAGCACAGCCCTTCCTAGAACAGGGCCTCGCCAAGTTTGTTCCAGTAATACCTCAGTGGTTGAGGTAAACAGGGAAAACATTTCATAGAAGTACCATAAGGGAGTTCATGGGAAACTGGTGCCCCTGTGCCACAAATAGAAAAATCATGCAAATAGACTATTCACACATACAGTTTCTTTGCCAAAGGCCAATGACATATTGAAAAAGGTTACTCACAAACTCCCTTCTAGCCTCAGAGCAGGTCTGGAACTGGAAGGGAGAAAGAGCACATACTAAATGTTTAGATTGACGGGAGGCAGGTTTCTCTCGCCCCATGCAAACTCGGAACTGCCAGGCTCGAAAACTGAAAATGAAAACAGCCTATAAAGTAGGGAAGGGAGGATGGGGATATAAAGACACACATGGGTGCCCATCCTCCAAAGAATTATTTATTCTACTGCTCTGAAAAAGTTCAACAGGAGAACTTCAGGAAGATCAATTCTGCTTGTGGCTCAAATCTGTAGTGGCACATACAATGCGAGCATTCTTGAATTTAAATTGGAAGAAAATTAAGTTTTTTTCTGCCAATGTAAAGCAGCAGATCATCTCTCCATACTCGGTATTCTCGTATCTGAAAATAGACAATTCTTTTCATGCGGAGCTCCTTGACCCAAAACAAAGTGATACCATTACCAGGCTTCGATGTTACATGATCTTGCAACTAACAGAGTACTTTAAATAAGTATATTTATATACATGTTCAGACCAACAAATGGCACCATCAATTCAAATTGCAGCTTTTTAAGAATGCAATTAGTGTTTTTTAATCTGCATTTTATCATTTCATTCATGATATCTGACCACAGTTAAAATAAAAAAATAGACTAAATAAACATGAAAGCCTTACAACTTCTTCAGTGAATACCATAGTGTGTGATTCTTCAGTGAATATCATCCACATGCCACTGAAATCAAAGGTAAGCTTCACACTGACTTTTATGGCAATAGCCACTTATTTTTATGGGCTCAAATTGACTACAACTGCACATTAAACAGACACAATTTCTGACATGATTCATAGAGAAGAACAGTAAACAGCTCACGGTTAAGCTTTAATTGGGACTCAGGTTTATTTGAGATATAAGAATAAATTATTTTACTACATTGATCTGTCATGAAGTCAACTTAATCAGAAACAATGTAAATATTTACACAAATATACTCAGCAAATACAACCACCATGAAATTAAAAAAGGCACACAGAAAGTTCCATAAGAAAATCAGTTTGACAAACTTGACAAATCATTAAATGAAACAGTTCCTATCGCAGTAACATATACATACATCTGCTTGATCGTCTCTCAACTCCATTTTTGCCAGTCTTTGGATTTTCCTTTCCAGGGTTCTGTAATTTAGACTGGTTCTGATGGTGATCATTAGATAACCTGCTTCCATGTCTCCGGCCATTCACCACCATGTTCTTGGATTCTCCCAGCCACTTCATTCCCACAGGCAGTCTGCCCCCGTTGCATTTAGTCCTTCTTCCAAAGGCTTTAAGAAGTCAACTGCAGTTCAGCTTCCTATCAGAAGTAAAATGCACAAACAAAAGCAAATAGTTCAATTCCCAAAAAACAGCAAAACAAATACTCTGTAAAAATCAGAAGGTAAGTTAACAAACACCATTTTAAATAAATATAAATATTTTACATTACATTTTTGTTCCTTCACTAAAAAAAGCCCTTCTTCATTAAAACGAAGATTTTTTACCTGAAATGTGCATAGTGGGCAACTTAAGGAAAGTTTCACACAAAGTTTAACAGAATCATATGTTGGAGGCAAAAGTGCTCAATTATGCCATCCCATGTAGAGGTCATGTATATCTTTTTTGCCGCGTGTATTTTGGTCAGCCCTGCAGCCTCCATTCTCTTACAATACTTGTCCCAGAATGGTAGAAGAGTGTGTGGCTGGGGAAGAACTGGAGCAAATGCATGGGTTTCACACTTTTCATGAGCGGTTTCCAACATTTGTAACCCCACAGTCCACAACTGTACACCATAAAAAGACTTTAACTCTTCATTCTCTTTGAAGCACAGTATCTGATTTCTAACTTAGCCCTCAGCAAAATAATGGCAATTTAACACACTAATGATGATGATGATGATGATGATAATGATATCCATATATGTAATGTAACAATAAAATGTGTCCACAGACCTAAAGACAGAATTGTGTATAAACAAAATTGGCAAATAAAATACGTAAAATATCTATAATAATCGTGCAAAGAAGCATTAAAAAATTTTTTAAAAAAAGAACAGATAACAATAATGGACCTGATCTGATCTAGTAGTGTATCTGGTGAAGTGGGTTTTATGTTTTTTTAAATCAGTTGGCCCTTTTTTAATGACAATGATGAAGGAGCAGCTGGGAAAAGAGACAATGCCAAAGACTTTTAATTCAGACCAATCATGGGAAGGTTTTATATTTTTTAATCACAGCACAAGTGTTTATGCAGAAAGAAACCGGATACAGAGAACCAAAGAGCAAGAGCTGTAAGACAGTGCTATCATTTCATGCAACACCTACAGCACACTGAAACGTTCATCTCTTGCCCTGAAAACCCTACGGAGTTCATCCATAGGTCGGTTGCAACCTGATGGCACTTTCCACCACCAAAATAATTCAGCTTTTATCAATGAACACATACACACAAGTATTCGTCGCCATTTGAAGTTCAGCATTTGTCCACATTAATATATCCCCCTAGTCCTGATAATAGTGCAGTAATGCAGAATTAGATGCGATAAGAGAGATCCTCACTTATGTATTCAGGTACCTTCCAATTCATATGAAAAGGGAAGAGGCTTTCTTTAGAGAAAACACAGTGATGCAAGTGGCTACATTTTATTATTGGGGAAGCATGATTTTAAAAGAAAAACACTACTCACCTCTGCTACACAGGAACAGAGTTTAGGTGCACTCATATACTTGATAGCCCCCAGCCCCTGTTTTACTCATGAACAGGCAACACATGCATAAACACATGTGGATCC